AGATGCAGGGAGAGGTCTGGAGGACTTATCAGGTCCCTTCCAGACCTACGATTTTAAAAGAGGCAGATAAATATCCCATGGGGCCTTGTTACTTTTTAAATTGATAACTTGCTCTGCTCGAGAAGAGCTTTGTGGGTCTAATACATTAATTATATCTGCAGAGAGCCTTCCATCTACAGATCCCAAGGTACCCTGCCAACCCAAGATACGGCACCATTCCGTTCGGGCGGGCAGAAACACTGAGGCATGGGGCTATTAGGAGAAATTTCCAGGGTCACACGATGCATCATCTAAGATCTGAAAATAGATGCCACATGGTTCTGTTAGCCGACTGACTTGGGGGTTTGGTTTTCTGACACCACTCTCTCTCCTCCTAAGTCTCTGATAATTTCGCAGAGGGTCTTAGAATCTCTGATGGTTTTCAAAGTGACTTGTTTTAATTTAGAAAATAAATATAGTACAGAGAATATTTTGAAGTTGGGTGTGGATGTGTTTTGAAGTGATGTGGCCAAATCAAACACAAAGCAACTTCTCTCAGCTCTGCGTCCTCAGGATTTAGGATGTCACCCAGACTCCAGACTGATCAGCCGAGCACGCTATGCCACACTGCCCGAGCGCTGCTTGCTTTCGGATCTCCACAACGATGGAGGCTCTCCAGGGGAATGTACACCTGTAGACCCCTACACGGAACATTTAGGAAGCCGGTTTCCCTCTGGGTCAAGATGACAACAAGGCCTGGGTCAGATTCGGGAGCATCTTCCTGGAGATCAAAGCCCTGTGACCGGGAGCCTTTCATTGGGACTCCACAGTTCCCCATGTCCCTGGGGCAAATTACTCTGTCTCTAAGAGCTTCAACTCCAGTCTTTTTTTTTTTTTAAAGATTTTATTTATTTATTTGACAGTCAGAGATCACAAGTAGGCAGAGAGGCAGGCAGAGAGAGAGAGAGGAGGAAGCAGGCTCCCTGCTGAGCAGAGAGCCTGTTGTGGGGCTTGATCCCAGGATCCTGGGATCATGACCTGAGCCAAAGGCAGAGGCTTTAACCCACTGAGCCACCCAGGTGCCCCACAACCCCAGTCTTTGAAACTCTGTTCCATTCTGAAGCAGTGAGGTGGTACCTGGAGGTTCTCTGATCCCTTGGAAGCCATCAGTGCATGAACGGGATGTGCTCACTTAGCACATTTCTGCCACTCATTACAGGGTAATTCTGAAAACTCTTGGACCTCATCCCTGTGCTCACCCTCCCATCCTCAATCTGGCCATCAAGATATATTTAGCACCCCCGCAGGCTCTCTCTTTGAGCCCAAATTTCTTCCAAACACATCAGAACAGCCAGCAGCACTGTGACTAACAACAGCAAGGTAACCAGCACTATGTCAACAATGAGATGCCCACTTTCACCAAATAAGGGAGAAATGAAGACAAGGCCTCTTGCCTCGACACAGAAGGGCAATGGCCTCTGTCCCCGGTCCTGACCTTGTTCTTGGCCTCGTTCCGCCCAGCGCACACACAGAGAACCAGCCATTCAGAGGTGAGCAGGGTCCTGGCCAAGGCCTCCAGCCTCCCGCTACTCCCGTTTTTCTCTCTGCCCTTCCCATGCCTTGTGTGTACATAACTGTGCCCATAATTACAGACACATACGTGAACCTTCTAATACTGTATTTACAACACTATGTCTATGTTTAGGGTGTTGTTAATGTAGCTGGTGAAATCAAAAGCAGTAGTCTTCTGCTTGTGGTTTCTAAAGAAATATATGTGAAGCCATTTGTACAATCTAGGGGAGCACATGGGCTGGATATGGGCTCCATCAGGCAGACAAGCTCTCTGCCTTGTGGTTACGACATAAATATGCATAAGGAGGGCCCACCCTATAGGAAAATCATAGGTTCCATATTTATGGCGTGTGTAATTGGATAAGGGTTTGGGGATGTGCTGTACATGTGGTCTGCGTAAATGGGCCGTGTTTTGCCAGGAGGATGCTTGCAATCCGCCCCCCCCCCACCCATGATACTCAAATGCCTTCTTCAGAGGTAACCTCACAGTGACCTGCTGGGTAGAGAGAGACAGACAAGGGTGCACACAGGCTGGTGGGAAGCTGGAAAAGAGCTCCTTAGTCTTCTTCACTTTCTAGTCACAAGAAGGAAGCTGTCCCCCCCCCCCCCCACACCTCGGCCCAGGCTTTGCCACAGCCCAGCCTGGGTCCACACTGTAAATCGTGTATTGCAAGGAAATAGCATAGCCATTCCCCACCACCATCAGCACTCATTAATCTTGTTTTTCTCCGATTTCCCCAATTCCCTGGTCTTTGGTACATAGCACTGGTGTTGACAGTAACCAGGGAATTGAAATCAAGTTCCCACATCTCTGCCCCAAACATCACCATCCCCTCCTCACACCCTGCGCCTGCAAACCCTCCCCCTGCGTGGCAGAACGGAGCCCGCTGCCACCTCTACCTCCACTCTGCTTTGCTCACAGGTCCTGCTGTCGGAATTGTGCTTTCAAGCCCACCACCTAGCACCAGTTAGCTTGGCACACCGCCCACCAGCCAGTGGCTACAAAGAGAAGCTCAGTGGTAGTGGTCAGCGTAGACGGTGCAGATGAAGCCACTCCCCTCCCCGGCCCCCAGCTCCCCTCCTCAGCCGCCTCCCCTTCATGGCATCAAATCAAACTGCAGCAGACTTGACAAATCTATTTGGCACGGTTCACTCAACTATTTCAACCCGAACAGACCAGAGAGCTGCGCTGACGCTCCACGAACGGTGTGGTGCGGGATCCGCACATCAGATACAGACATCTGGGAGAGCAATCTACTAATGAAGGAGCCGCAGAGATCACCGCCGCAGCGGCGGAGGGGCGGGTCTCCCTCATGGCCCACGCACCTGCAGTGGGGCAGGGGAGCGAGGGGAGGGGGCAACACCTAACTGGCAGGCTTTCCATTCTCCTGCCTCCTTCTAGGTAGCCAGAGAATGAATATCTCATGGGGGATAGAAAACGGTTTTTCCTCTGCCCCAGTGTATTTTTCACGTGGGTAGTACTGATCACTAAAAAGCCAAACAACCACAAAACAAAAATGAAATTACCCCTTGGCACCTGGGGAGAGAAATCTAGCCGAGGGTGCGAAGGGGAGGTGAGAGAGAGAAAGAATGATCTATCTAATATGAAAAAGTTGAGAATGATTCCAAAGGAGACCAGCAAGCTAAATTCAATTCTCAGGAACATCTTCTCCGCAGAACGAACACGAGGGATAAAGCCAGGGAGGACAGCATTCTGTCAAAATGTGCAGTGCTAAGGTATTTCCAAAAGCAGATTTCCTACAAATAGTGTTTTAAATAGCATCTCAGTCCATCTGCGTGCTTTTAAAATCAGCTTGTGCTACAGTATCCCTCTGGCCAGCACTGCTTAGTCATTGAGCCTGGGCAGGGAGGCAGTCAGGTGAGCCGCCTCCTTCTTCCCCAGGGCCCACCCCTCCTCAGCACTGGCCCTCGCCTGCCTGGCAGAGGTTCTTTCCAGCTTCTACCGGTTTCTTACAGAAAAGGGTGGGTGGGGAGAGAAGGCAGGGGAAAGCGCCAGGGGGACGAGCACCCGGTCCCTTGCCCCTAACAGCCAGTGCCAACTCAACCTTGCCCTTGCCAAGTGGTATTTGTAACCGAAACACAAGAAGTCAACGAGAAGCCGGACCTGGCTGACCATGTCAAGGTGTGGAGGTCTTTCAATTGCGAAAAACCTCCCTTTTCATCTGTGAAATGAAGAAATTGTGTGTATGTGCATGTGGGTGAGAGAGAGAGATACCTGGTACTATCTAGAAGCCGTGATTTTCAGATGAATGGTGCCATGTTACTATGGCGATTTTAATAATAATAATAAAAAAAACCCACTGCTTTAAAAACTCACACTTCCTGAGTGAATCAGTGTCGACACCACAGTTCTGCTTTTTCTCCGTCCAACGTTTCCAGTCGCACCAGCGAGGGCAAGCCACCTTGGGACCGTGGCAGGAGCCGAGGAGGCTGTGTTTGGAAAGGATCTCTGGCCTCTCTTGGTTTGGTCACATGCGTCCCACCTTGCTCACTCCCGATACAACAGGCCAGGGGCCCCGCGGAACGGGAGCACGAAAGAGGAGGGTCCCTTTGCCTGTCCCTGCTTCCATCTGGGGAAGGATGGACACTGTCCTCCCAGAGCTAGGAGCCAGCGTGTGACAGAGTTTGCCCCTGGCCCAGGCTAGACCACCAGCCATTCCCGATGAGCCCCCCATGTGCCGAGCACCCCTGATAGCCAGGGTTGGCGGTGCCGGCTGCAGGCCTGCTCACCGCCAGGAAGCCGCGTGTCTTCGGAAAGCCGAGCGCCCCACATCCATCCGTGTGCACAACAAAAGCCCCACATCACCCGCGCGGACATACCTCCGGGAGCCACAGACACTGAAGGCACCAGCTGGGAGAATTCAGTGCCTTGCTGCCAAGCATGACGGCCGGTTCAGATCCCATCCCCGACAAACTGAATTTCTCCTCATCGTTTATTGTCCTCTTTCTTCTTTGGGACATTGTGATTCCCTCTCAGGATTTGTGCCCTTTCATTTCTAGACCTCGGTAACTCCTGAACCACAGTTTCATGTGGTTTTGTGATTGTTAACCCAGCATGGGGAAGGGACTCAGGCCATAAATGCTCAATGAATCCTGTAGTATGGGAAGGCGCGGACTGGGGACACATTTTCTCCTTCATTTGCAGTCAGAGAGCACTGTGCGAGCTCATGCACACACACTCTCTCTCTCTCTCTCTGCGGTGCGACACACCACAGCAGCCAGGCTGTCAGAGAAACAGTGTTTTCCAATCAGTTTAGGATAAGAAAGAATATTTTCAGGGCCACCGCCTCCCATGCCTCCATCAATTACTTGAGTCTCACCAAGCAAGGCCTCCTCCCCTCTGTGGGGTTACCTGGCAGCTCCTCTCATCCCCAGGCTCCTGCACACCCCAGCATGTCTTCGGGAGGGGGGAGAGGAAATGGGGTTACCTTGTGGTTTTTGCCATGCCTGTAGACCATCCAGTCCTCCCCGTTCGTGCTGACTTCCAGCTTGTAGGATTTGACATAGTAGCCATTCTGCGTCTCCCTGGAAATGGCGCCCTGCGTTGCAATGGCTGTGAGCATGGTCAGAAAGCGCAGGTCCACCTGAGGAAGCGGGGAGGAGGGATAAGGGACCCATGGTTCCCGACAGGAGGGCAACCTCTTGCTATTCCTTTAAAGGACAAAACTGTCATACTTAGCTTGCTACTTGTGCCTGTGTGATCTATCAGAATCAGAGGGATTGGTATCAGTCCACAATTCCAGCCTGGAGGGTCAGACTCCACTTCTCTAGCCCTACATTGGATCCCTTTGAAATGGTAACTGGATGGTTTTTCTTTTTTCCCTTTTTTTTTTTTGCAAATCTGAACCGACCATATTCAGTTTACCTTAAAGGGATCCTCGAACATCTAGAACTGTGACCTCTTCTTACTGAACTACAGCCTTCCCTGCATCGTAAAATCAGATGCTATTTAAAGGAACAATGGTTAAATCCGGTCCACTCCACCCCACTGCAGTCCGGTCCAATCCAATCCACTTATGATACTCTGGTTGCCATGTCTCAGCTCGGGGTTGCCTCACCTCCCCTGCCTTCCCTCGGTCCCTCATTCCATTGTGTAGTTAGTCACTCAGTCACCAAAGGGTCAAAGGGCATTCAGAGTCTGCCCAAGCAATTAGGTTTATGCACCAAGTCCTGACCTTTTGCTCAGTGAGGAAGATGGCCCACATTTTGAGGCACCTCTCTTCCCACAACACTAAACCCATTTGGAAATTGCTGGATGTCATTCCTTTGCCAGCCGCAGTGTTTCTTAATGACAGCCCCCGTGATCCAAATTGAGCCAGCACTCCCTGGTAAAATTTGATTCAGGAAGCATTTATTGGTACTTACTATGTGCTCAGCATAATAGTGAATTCAAAAGAGGTAGGCCGTGCTGTCTATGTGTACTATAAACAGCTGGAGGGCAACAAGAGAAAGCTTATGATTGAGGACCAAAAATAAGGAGTGAAATCAATGGAACATTGATTATGTAGGAGAACGTTCTGGAAGCTCTGCAGGATGAGAAGGTTTTTTGGAGAGGCAGAGAAGAGATCGTGACAAATGGCCTTAGGGTTGCCCTGTTCGAACCTCTGCGGACTGCCTGGAAGTTTCTAAGGGGTACTTCTCCCTGTCCTGTTGTCTGCTCTGCCACGTCCTTCTCAGAGCGGAGCCCACCGGGTCACATCAGAGCTAGGACCACTTGTCAGTGGGTCACAAGGCTATCTGGTGTGTGTCATAAAAGCAGTCATTGCTCTAGCATGGACCTAGCAGCTCACTGTTCCTGGGGGATGTGAACAAGACTGGTCTACAGTTTCATGGGGGAGGATTCAGCATACACTGCAAGGCTCACTCAGAAGGAAAGCGAACAATAGTTTGAGAAGACGGTGCAAAGCATCTGGGCAACCAGAGCTGCATTCCCGGTGGTGACATTTTCCCGTGTGTTCTTCTGATCGCTATGTGCAAAACCTTCCTGGCAGGGCTCCCTCCGAACAGCAAAGATCATGAGAAGCTGCCATGCTCAGCCAGCGACTCAACAAGTCTGCCCTCAGGAAAAGCCCTCCCCCGACCAAGTCTCTGATGCCTCCCTGTGCCAAGAATGAGGAAGATCTGGAACTGTTTATAGAATGTTCCTTGGATAGCTATACGAAGAGGCAAACAGCGCCCAGGCCAAACAACTTCCCCAAAGCCTGGTAATCTTCACAAGGGTGGTGGCAGTGTCTGCCTTATCATCCTTTGATCCCAGCAGTTAGCACAGCACCTGGCTGAGTCTCTCTGTGCCTGGAACATGCGTGTGTCTGGATGGATGAATGAAGGGAGCTCTCGAGTATGGGCTGTGTGTGTTTTCCTTGTGTCCTCCGTCCACTCCAGCCGAGCCACCTCCCGCGCCCACCAGTCCACCCACACTCGGCACACCGTGCGGTATCTGAGTACGTACCTGGAGGTACTCCTTGCTGGAATCCAAGTTGGGGGTCCAGCCATTGTCATCACCATGGAGCCGGCTTTGCTGAGGCGTCCACCTTTCGTCAGAGTAGGTAGAGGAGGCACTGATCTGCTCATTAGCAATCCGGCCAGATTCCATTCCCAGAGGGACGTTGCACTGGAAGTCTGGGGAAGGGACAGGGTCAAGGGCAGGATTACGTGTCTCAACCTCAAACTCCTGGGATCCCCCAAATCTTGCTCCCTTCTAGGGACAAGTCCTTGCAGGAACTCCTTCATCTTAAAGACCTAATTACACACCCGCATTTTGAAAACAGCTCTGCCAAGTCATGGAGCTTGACAACCCCTCTGGGCCTGAAAAGAAACTAAATTGGGCCTAAAAGAAGTCAGGCTATGGGTAAATAAAAATCATCATACAAATTAAAAATACAGTCTCAAGTATAAGAACTGTTGGTGCTTCAGGCTACAGACACTCGCAGACGCCAGATGCACCGTAACTGAAATACAGGTAAACGTGTGATAGACTCGTGGCAATCTGGGTGGGCTGATACATCGTGGGAAGCCTGCTTTCTTCACAAACACCCAGGAGGCCCTTCTGCTTCTCTCTTTCACTCAAATGTCTTGCATTCTGGCACAGAAGACCGGCATTGCAAAGCAGTGAATACCCAACTTTGGGACATTTCTCCAGGAGCACAGCCACACCACTCTCTTCCCCTGTGCCCCCTACCCGGGCAAATGGATCCAGAAGTCACAGACTCTGGCTCTGCGCCATTAGTGTAATTGCTGTCCTTCCCACGGACACCGTAGACGCTGGTCAGTATCAGAGTGTGCAGGTGTCCGATAAAGCCCAGCAATTTTTTCAGATATCAAACCCATTCCCGAGTCATTCTGTGACGGTGCTGGCCATGGGCAGCTCTTGGTGCCATACTGTTTTCCTATCCCTCCAATCTTCATGAGCTCTTGGAAGAACGAAAGCAAAACCCAGAACAAAACCCATCGCCTTTCCAGTTGGCTGGGCTGCCATGTCTGTGGGTATGCACATAGTAAGCTGTCTACAACCGGGACAGGATTTGCCCAGCTCCAATCCTTAAAGTATGTCTTTAGGACTCAGAGTTATCACTTGGGTTTCTAGGGGGATAAAGGCAGCACATCTGAAGCACGTGTCCTAGAGGAGCTGATCTGAAGATGGAGTTCAGAGTAGATGTGGATGGAGGCAGGAGACTCAAGGTCTAGATGGGCATTTCCAGGACAGCTGGGGTCGGAGCTACACTCGAGGCTTTGCAAGATACCTGGCACAAGGTAGAAGCTTAGAAAGTGTGTACACTGAAGCATGAAGCCAAAGTCCAAGCATGTATCAGTCTAGTGAGATAAACTCTACCCAGGGCCAGCGATGTTCAATGTAAAATACATAGATGAAGAAGGTTTACAAATTGCTCAGTTTTCTGACCATGGCCACTGAGGCTGAGAGAGGGAGAAAAGACTCAAAAAATGTTAGCCCAGGGAGGGGACCCTATGTAGATATCCTAACTCACCTCCCTTGCATTCACAGATGAGAAAACTAAAGTGGGAGATGGTCCTGTGACTTACCCTGGGAATAACTCATTCTTGGTACATATACCTACTTTCTAAAGAAATGAGTACCCGGCCGACATTTGTTCGACTCTTACAAATCTCCATCTAGCAAGAGGATATAGCCCCCATTCCCTGAATTCAGACGCTGCTACAAATTCTGGAGAATTTCCCTCTCTTCACCGTACATCCCACAGCCCTGATGGAAGGAGAGGACAGAAGTTCTCAACCGGCCAACTCACTCTCTGGTGGGTCTTGGTGGATCAGGTAATAGCGTGCAGAGAAGCCATCCTTGGCCACCGCCATGTCTGTGTGAAAAGTCAGGGAGAGGATCCCTGTTGACGAGCGGAGTTCCGAGGGTGTTTTGGTCCCACAGTACTTGCCAATCAGAGGGCCAACTAGATAGGCAGGACAAAAACAGGTCAGTAGAAATGGAAATGTCAAACTCCATTTTCAATGCATTCACCCTTGCCACAATCGAAGTCACTCCACAGAGCACTCTTTGGGCATAGAAGAATGACCAAAGATAAGTTCTAAGGACATTGTCTCATATTTTTCCTGTACGTTAAAAAATACACTTGACCTTTAAACAACATGGGTTTGAAGCGCATGGACCTACTTAAACATGGATTTTTCTTTTTTGACAAATACAGTACTGTAAATGTATTTTCTCTTCCTTATGACTTTCTTAATACCATTTTCTTCTCTTTAGGTTATTTTATTGTAAGAATACAATATATAATACATATAACATACGGAATATGTGTTAATGGACTATTTATGTTACTGGTCAGGCCTTCAGTCAATAGTAAGTTATTAGCAGTTAAGTTTTGGGGAGGCAGAAGGCATGTGTGGATTTTCGGCTATATGGTCGACCGGCCCTTTGAATCCCTGAGTTGCTCAAGGGGCAATTGTACTTTTTTTCTCTGTTCAAGGGGCACCTGTGTTTTCCCTGACTTGGCCTCATTCTCTTCCCTCGCTCTGTTCTGGGGACAGGCCGGAAAGCTATCATTATAACACCCAACTTACAGAAGAACAAACTGAGGTTTGGGAGGTCACGTGACTTTGGAAAGAAGAGCTGAGACTCAGAACCCAAGTTTTCTGACTCAGTCTTATGCTCTTCTCAGGAAATGAAACTGCTCAGTCGCCAAGCCTCCCTCTCAGTGCAAAACACTGAGGCTCACTACAGAAGCGAACGGGTGGCTTTCTCACCGAGACGAACTATGGAGACCTACGTTGGACGCCAGCTGAGAAGTACCGGTTCCTCAGGCTTTTTGACATCTGTGACTGTTTTAATTAATAGCAGTAAACTCATAGTAATAATAATGATGATGATGAAGGCAGCTTATTTATACAGGTAGGATGCAGGGTTTAAGTGAGCTGCCCAGGCTTACAGAGCTGCCTTAGAGCGGAGCTAGGATCCAGATCTAGTCCGTGTGGGTCTAGCATCCTACTTGGGCAGAAAGGGTGGTCATGGAGTCACTTTCTACGTCAATTTCTAGTCAATTTCTACTAATGTCCAGAAGAGGACATTACAGATAGGCTTTCTCATCCTCATCCAGGCGTCCACTCAGTCTCTGCCTATCCTTCTCCAAAGAAATATTTCCAAGAAAGGAAACTGCCTTACTGCAATTTCTCTGAAATCATCCTTGGTGAAAAACAAGAAAGAAAGTCATCATGGGTCATACACAAACCCTAAGGAGCTTTGAAGCCTTTGTTCTCTCTTTTTATTGTCACCAAAGCCATTCACAGGCAAAGGCGAAGCTACAGAGAAACGTCTCGCGACAGCAGCATCACTCACCATGTGGAATGCCGTCCCAGATGTCCAGCCAGTCGTATTTGCAGTCTCCTTCTCCCACCTGCAGCGGGTCGTGCTCCAGGTCAAAGGTCAGGAACTGCAGGATGATCTCCATCTTGGGTTTGGCCAGAATGGTAAAGGTACAGTCCAGGTTGTGCGGGTACTTCTCGGGAAACCCGGGGGATTCGATGGTCCCGTTGGGGCTTGTGAAGTTTTTGGAACAGTCTTCGGAGCCTGTATGTAAAAGAGAACTGGAGCATTAAGGGAAGAGAAGAAGAGGCCCTCCTTCGCTGCCTCGGTCACATGGGTTAGTTCAATGTTTGAGCCCTGATCCCCCTCCTCATATGGCTTTTGTTTCTACTGGAGTGGCCCTTGAAGAAACATACTCTTCACATCCACGTCTCAAGCCTTTAAGCCAGACTCTCTCGAGGAGAGAAATTAGGGGAGGAGAGCTGGCGTGCTCTACGTAGCAGAGCGAGAGCACCAGTTGAGGCGTTGGGGAGTGCGGGGGGGGTCAGAAAGAAGTGTGTGTGTGAGATACAGAGAGAGAGAGAAAGAGAGAGAGAGAGAGTCTCTTGGAAAGAGGAACAGAGTCTTCTTTCTCAATTACTCAGCTGCTTGCTCCAGAAATGTAAGTTATTTCAATCCTTAAGGAAGGCCTGCTGATTGCCAGCAAGGAAAACAATGTCACCCCTTATTTATTGCTGACCTCAACACTAGCCCCTATTGTACCAGAGCCAACGAAGTGCCCCCTTCTCCCTCCAAGATCCAAGGTGCCTCAGGGGAGGGGCAAAGGGGAGCTCGGGTCTCATTCATGTCATGACTATATTAAAACGAGCTGCTCTGTAGTGGCCAGACAATTAACAATCGACTTTTGTAGCTGGTGGATCACAGCAGGGCGTTGGGGATGTTAAAGGCCGCTCTAGCAGCAAGTTTGGAAAAATGCTTCAGTGTATTGACATTTGGAATGCTTCTGGTCTCTTTGTGGTGGGGAGGGCCTTGTTTGTCTCCGAAGCTCTTGGGGCTGTTTCCTTGGGACTCCGGGAGGCCTTCTTATTAAATGCGGCACATATTCGCGGCCCGGTGCAGGCTTGGATGGCAGTGGGAGCTCTGAGAGGATTAGAGCCACCAGATCTGGGAATGCCTCTAGGTAGAGTCCCGTTAAAAGGCGCCTCATGGGTTTTCAGCCAGGACGGGCCTCTGGCGGGTCCCAGGACACTGCAGCCCAGGCCACCGGCCCACGGAGCAGCCGGGGCCAGAAGCAATACCGATCCGTGGTACCACTGGAAGGCTGGACTGTCACAATCGATTTCACTGCATTCTGATTTTAAAATTTAAAAAAAAGGTAGCAGGGTTTATGAGGAGGATAACAGGCACTCGAAGTATGAAGGAAAAATACAGAAATACTCGATAAACCAGGTGTTTACTGGCAGAAGTGTCCTCTGGGGATCCCACTGCAACAGAACTGTGTGATGTCAATACACAGATCTTCGCCCGCAGCGATGTCTTCATCCTCGGCTCCCGCAGCAGGCCCCTCTGCAGGGCTCCGTATCGACAAGAGCTCTCTGGGAGGCGTGAGGGTCGGATTCGGCAAAGGGGCCATGCAAAGAAGTGGGCAAAGGGGGGCCGCAACTTCCTTTCGCATCAGATGGAAATCCCGACATCCCGACCCGCCCATCCATGCCCTCTGCCCTTCCGACCAGCGCTCTGCCCTGGCAGGGGGGTACCCCGTGCCTGCTGGGGCAAGAGCTAACCTTTTCAGGGCTCTAAACGCTCCCTAAGTGCCACATCTGCCCCTCGGAGGCTCTGTGCTCTGTCAAGGGCAGGGCGGCCCCGTGGGCAACCAGGTCCGCAGGGCTGAGCGGGGACGGTCTTTCCCCAGTGTGTTTACCGCGGAGCCCCCAGCTTTGTTTACTGTCAAGCCTCACACTCTGGAGGGCCTCCTCAGTGGTCCGGGATGAGGCGCTTTGGCCAAGCCAAGCCAGCTGGCAAGCCTTTGGAAGGGCTGCGAGGAATCTTGAAAAGGTTAGTGTTCATTGCTATTGTGTGGCCTTCTCCATGTGGGTCACCCAGCCAGAGGAAATTAACTCTCTCTCCACGACTTGCTTTCGGAGCTAGAAAAGGCATCCTGACATTCCCTCTTTGGGTTTGCTCTCTTGTCATTCCCTTTCAAGGCCAGGGGAATCCCCATCTCCCTGGGAGTGGGGAATTTTTGGTGGAATCTTTCTTTGGTTCCTCCCATCCCTAGGGGACAAAGTCTTCCACACTGGACACCTAGTGAGCCCGAGAGAGACCCCGGAGCCTGTTTCCAGGGTTCAGGGTTACAGTCCTGCACTTGGGTGGTCAGAATTTTTCCATATGATATCTTTAAGGCGAACGAACAAACAAAAACCACCAAAAAGAGTGTGTATCTCTCCCTGACACATGGCTATACATAGGTGTATCCTCTGGCTTATTTTAAATGAGGAAAAAAAACAGTTTTATCCTTTCTATGCAGAACAATCACACTTGTCCATTGCAGGGGTACCTGCTTCTCTAACTGTGCCGCTCAGAGTCTGGACTGTGGGTAAAGTGTTAGAAAGCAGGAGGCTGAAGAGTGACCGGAGAGGAGGTCTCGGGACCATCTGGGACAAAAGTGGAATCTTGTAGGTATCTAGCTCATCCAAGATCCTTTTCTGCCATGAAGTACAAGAATTAAAGGTTAAAAAAAATAGCTCAGTCAACAAACACTCCTGTTCACTCAAGGCTAAGGCTGCCCACGCAAGCTGGGGGATTTCGGCTGCGGCGGATGATTTCATACCAAAGGACTCTGGTGTGGAAAATGCCCCCTCCGTGTCTTCCCACCGTCAATGTTACAATAACTCTGCAAGCGAAAGGCGAATCTGCATGCATAAAGCTATTTAAAACGTGGTGGATTTATTCCATTGGAACGCTGCCTGACCTTGAAAGGTGAATTTGGTTCAAGAAGTAGGACTAGAGGGCACTTGCTAACGTTTCTCTGTCTGGGAACGACCCCAGGGCTTTCAGTTTCTGAAATGTCACTGGACACCAGGAAAGAAAACTTGATCTTGAACTTTGGTCAAAAGAGTATCAGAAAACGAACAAACCAAAAAACCCATGTCTTCCAGTGATTCAGCGTCCAGTGTTACTTTTAAAGTCATTTTAAAATTCCTTTCTCTGTTCTGCTTAGGATTGGGCAATCTGAGATCCTTTAAGTTTGCAAGCCGTTTCGATTTGCTCTTTTACACGTGGACAGTCTGGTATTATTTTGACTCTTTCATAAACCACTTCATTCAGGGTAGACAGGAACATCCCACTCCAGCCACATGCCCCCCGTCTAGACCCAAGCTGGGGGTTTGTGTCTGTCAGGAGAATTCTGCAGCTGACGCTGGCCAGGGCGATGCGCCGTCAGGCTTCCCCGGTCCTCAAGAGGGTTATCTTGTGTATCTGTGTTTACAGTCCCCCTTCTTTCTCTATGAATCTGACTAGCAAACATAGCTGTGTTTGTTTGGATTTCCTCAGCATGTTCACACATTTCTTTCATGTTCCGTGGGTGACGTCAACTTTGTGTATTTTCTTCCAGGACTCTGACAGTGGAAATGTCGGGGCACGGAGGGCATGGCACCTGGAGGAATGCTCATCCTTCTAGACGTCTCAGCTTTGAACTGTGTAGCTGTTCAGGGTTGATTTTCATGCCGAGAGCTGCTCTCACAGGCAGGCATGGGGCAGGAGACAGTGGACCTCAAGAACAGCCCTGGGTTCTCGTTTTCTCTCTTAGGTTCCCCCAGAAATGTGGCTGCTGTCAGTGGGGCTGTGTCCCACTGCAGGAATCTCTCTCCTCCTTCTTTAGGCCGTCCTAGTCCTCGAAGCAGGCTGCCCCACTGCTCCACGCCAAGCCGCCTGCCATGGCTGGAGTTCCTGCGTCTAGGCATCCACAGACTAGTGGTCCTCAACATAGCAGCGCTCTGTTACGCTACCCTCTCGTGCGTTTTAACTTTTACCCTCAGCCCTGCAAATGTGCATCGTGGAGAGGGTTAGCATTCACTTCTGTGACTTTCTGGAGAATATGGCACCATCCTTTGGGAAATACTAAGTCAGGAAGCATGAAACAGAGATGAGCTCAAGGGTCCTGCTCACCCTTCCTGTGATGTCCCTGGGCCAGCTCCCCAGAAGACCTTGCTTGTAGCTGCTTTCCGATCCCTGTCCGCCCAGGGGAGCCGAGTGGCGGCGTTAGCCCTGGGGACCTGGCTATCGAGTTGACTTCCCAGGTCCCCCGCTTGCTAAGCCACTCAATGGAGCCCTCGTTCTGATAACCCAATCATGTTAATTCTACTACTCGGTGCTGATTCCTATTGCCTCATATTATAGTTTTCTTCTCGGTTTACATAACTATTTACCTACGTTCATCCAACAACATCCACTGTGCATCTGTTACATGGGAGGGTTTGCACACCTGTTTGCCCATGAGAAGAGGGCAAACATCCCATTTTTATTCCTTTCTATCTTCTCTCTCCCCACTGCAGAAGAGGGGACGATGAAGGTTCCAGCTGAGCTGGTGGATGACCCATTGGAATCTTATACAGGACTCTAGGGAATATGGATTGAGGCATTCAGGAGCCTCTCACCAGCCTCCTGGGACACTGGACACAGACTGCCGGTCCCTATGACCTCATGTGGTTGGGAGTGTGATGACCCGTGACAGACGGGCCTTCTTGGGACTTGTGCCCGGGACAGTCTGTGCTCCCACTCTGGCTCGAAGATGGCTGGACGCAGTTCCCTTGGGCCTGCCCCTTCATTGGATTCTACGCTCTTGCTCTCAGGCAGACAAATCTGACAAATATTTAGACAGAGTGGATATAAAAAGTGCTTTCAGTAGCTACCACTTCCTTTCAAGAACTGTTTATTGAAAAGAAAATATATATGAATTGGTTCCCCTTACACTGAACCCAACAGGCGCCAGACTTGGGTCTCTTGATGACAAAGTGGACGGCCTCCCCTTGTACAGGACTCCATCCACGAGTTGTAAAACAGAGGCTCAGAGGGGCCACACTGGTAGAGGGTGAGAGCCTGAGAGGTGGGGAACAGGCCGGGGGTGAGAGGGTGGCTGGGGGGTGCACTTTGCTCAGTTTCGAGATAATGAGCTCGCACACGGAAGGGCCGGGCACGCTGCTCAGAGCGCGTCAGTGTAGATACCGAACCAGAGACTTGGGAGTAAGAGTTGGGTCAGTCCGGTTATGGAAGTAAGGATGGACCCATGTTCTCAGAGCCTAAAGTAGTCGAAGGGGGGTCTAATAGAAAGCAGGCAGTCACCTTAAAGAAAGTGCAGTGTTCTGTCTCTTTTTCTACTACCTTCTTGATGGCTTTTCAGGAGGTATTTACCCTGGCATTTAGGAAGTCGGGGTCCAACAGGCACAAGAGGTAAAATGGGTGAGCAAGGGGAATTCGGACGAACCACATGCGAATGTAAAACCTACTGTATGACCCCACTGGTAAGATCTTTTAGAGACTCTAAACACTGAAAAGATTATGTCCTTCTGCCCATGAAATTCTGGATAAAGGCAACATTAAACCATGAAGTAATTAGGAGGAAGTTCGACCAAGTTTCGCTTTTTTCCCATGAAGATTACTGTGATTTTTAAACACACACAAAAATCGAATTCTTTTTGAAAGCGATTGTGTATTTTATTGGTGCTCCCTCCTCTCTCGGGGCCACAGACAATGCTTGTCTGCCTGGTGGGCACACCCAGCGCTAACCATGCAAGGCTCGCTCTCAAGTTGGATAAGTTAAACCGGCTTTTTCATCTGGGGCTGTGTCCATGGTCCCCCTGAGCCCCTCTTCCAACTCCAACAACTTATGTAACTTTCCACTACGCACATGGAACCATCACACAGTTCCCTTAGACGGTGCTCCAGAACTAGACACCGATGGCAGCCCCGTGTCTTCTGGAGCGCGCCCAGAACCCCGCTCTCCACCCGTGACCGCACTGACCTGTCTTGAAGATCTCGTAGCGCAGGGAGAAGCCTGCCCCCTGCCGGGCGTAGTCGGAGGTGAACTTGATGTACAGCACGGAGCCCGAGGAGATGATGGTGGGTGGGGCGATGTTCCCACAGTGCTTTCCCAGGAGGTCTGCAGATTCACTGTCTCCATCCCGAATCTCAATGAAGTCATACCTACGTGAGGTTGGTACAAAGGGGCACGTATGAGCAAAGATGACTCTCAGGAGAGGAAAGGGACCACTGTCTCACCGCAGATCCTATGCTCGCCCTTCCTAGACACCGGGTTATTTCAGATTGATAAACAAAGTCCACTTAGCTTTGCTTCTTTCTATAGACTGATCGACCTGGATATAGGAAGCTGCATTGCCTTACTGCCTGGATATAGGAAGCCATAGAGAGAATGGGCGCCTCGGTGGATGGCTAGATTTAGGGCCTTATCTCTTGCCCACATAAGAACACAGCATCCTTATATCAAATTATCTCCAAACAAGCACTTTTCCTTCCTTCCATAGCACCATTTTTATTTCCATCATGATCTCTCTGAATCTTAGTCTTTTCTTCTTAGCTCCGCATTACTGCAAGTTACTTAACCCCTCTGAGATCAATTTCTTCATCTGTACAAGATGGGGATAAAAATATCCAGTTCAGAGGGCTGGGTTGGAGATGAAATAAAGGATATGAGGAAGGTGCTAGGCACTGAGCCAGGCACACTGGGGATGTTCCTGAGAGATCTGCTTACTTTCCTACCCTCTCCCCCATGTTTCAGTTTCCTCCTGGGTTACCCCCTCTTCCCTTATCTTTAATTGTTAGTGATAAAGACTCCCGTGTGTGGGCCTCCTCCCTCCTTGAGATGACTCTACCAATTTCACCTCTGCAGCATCTAGTCAACAACATGTTTTAAAAAGGAATCAGCATTGTATTAGAGAAGGCCATAAAAACCTTTCTCCAAAAGCAGGGGGTGAATCCCTGGGGACCCAGTGTCTAGGAGCACATAACTATTAGCCTCGGCAAGAGGCAGAGCAGGCTGCCATCCCTGCACGGAGGCCTGAGCTCATTTCAAACACAATCAACCCTGTCCCAGGTTGGGGAAGACTCGTCAAAGACAGACATCCTTGGCTAGGTTCGCAGGATGGCGCCCACACCGCAGGACGCCATTTTAACTGCACAGGCACACATTCTGGGCCTTGCTGTGTGTTCTGGCCATCTTCATGGTGCCGACTCCGTGCTCCTCCCTGGGCTCCCAGTGACTACCACTGTCTCTGCAGCTGAGGTGGGAGAGTCCTTCCCCACCAGCTCCCTGCAAACTTCTGGTCACTGTACCCACTATTTACTGATAACCATCCCTTTCCTTCTCCCTCCCTGTTTGTTTATTTTGCAGCACACTGTTAAAACAACATGTAAGAAATTTCTCTCTTTTGGGTAAAGAGAGGGAGAAGCGACCCTCCCTGGGATGTGCCTGCAGGCTCCTGCCATACACACAGGATCTGTGGGAGCTGGCTGCCTGCACAAGCCGCTTATTTGAGCCTCAGTGGCCCAAGGCCTCACTGCAGCCCCCAGGAGCCAAATTTCAGACTGCACAGCCACTTAGGAACAAACAGGGCAGTGAAGGAAGTGTAAGGAAGGGACCGGGAGTAGTTCAGTCTTAGACCCCAGAGGGCTGGAATCCTACAGTCGAAAGAATCACAGAAACTGCTGCATCTAGTGTAGACAAGATGGCGGGTCTCCCCCCAGCAGCTCTGGAGAGAGAGCCACAGACTGAGAAAGGGAGTGGAGGTGGGGGAATCTGTGATTTCAATTTGGGAGAGGACTCTCAGTTTGAAAATGTGCTTCCTCACTTCCAAAACAAAAGGGGAAAGATAGTTTGTTCTCAAAGGAAATTCCCCAAACCTTCTGGAAAATCCCTCCTTGGTATTTCCACTCTGAGGTAAGCACTGTTAATCAGTCAGTCAATCTCAGTTGAGTAACGGTGATGTCCCATCAGGGCGTGCCACTGTTGAGAAGCCAGCCGTGTTCAGGAAGCAGATATTACCCAGTTCACGTGAGTAGTGGATGTAGGAACCTGGATGGAAGCGTCCCACTCACCCCCACCCCCCAACCTCTGCCCCTTGCCAGGCCCTGGCTGATCCCAGAAGCAGACAGAACTAGGTTTGGATCCCAATGTGGCCTTTATTAGCTGGGTGACCTCAGGCAAGTTACTTAACCTTTCTGATCCTCAGCAATGGGGAAAATGACAGTCAAAAGGGATATTAGAACCTTTTTCCTAGGGCTGTTGTGAGATTTAAGTGACCAACATAATCTATATAGAGAGTCAGTACTCAGCCTGGTCGTTAGTCAGCCGTGATTTGTTGTATCCTCACACCCATTTCTGAGGTGAATAGAGCGAGTGAGTAAAAGTGCAGTGTAAGTGGAATGAACATCTGTTAAAACATTTTGGAGTGCATTTTGGCAGAAATGTGACAAACCCTTTAATCCAGCAATTGCACTGCTAGGAATTTTTCCTAAGAAAATCATCAGACAATTGTGAAAAGATGTATATGCATCTTTGTGGGTGTAGATATAATAATAATAAAAAAAAGCATAAGAAAAGTGAAAAGATACTTTGTTTATAAACAGCACCATATCAAAATGTCCAACAAAGGAAGGCGGGTAAATCAATTTTGGTATAGTTATAAAATGGAATGCTCTACTGCTATAGTGAATTGATAGTGTTTTAGGTCTAGATATTTTGTTTTTATAGGAAAATGGCCATGCTATATTGTTAGTTTAAAAAATGGATTTTTAAAAAGCAATGTGTTAAAATACCTATGTATATATGTGTGTACATATATATACACACAATCTTGCATACACAAACAGAAAAAAGTCTGAAAGACTACATAAACTAAAATATTAACAGTAGTGAGATATACAGAAGGTAAAATCAGTAATTGCTACTTCTTTCTTTGTTCTTTTCTATTATCTGAATTGCCTACAATGAGCTTGCATTTCTTAATAAGCCACAAATATATAAAATAAAGCTGCTTCCATTAAGAATTTTTTTTTTCATGGTGACAGATGGTAACTGCACCATCGTGGTGAGCACTGGGGAATGCATCCAGTTGTCAAATCACTATATCCTATACTTGAAATTAATGTAACGGTGTATTTAACCATATTTCAATAACCCATAAAGTAGTACATGATAGAATAAAAGAAAAAATAAGATAAGAAAGATTTTTTGTTCAGAGTAGGACAGCAGAGAAAAAGAAGCCAGCTCTCATGATGTGGCAAATGAAAATGTAAATCCCATCATCATCATCATTAGCATCACCATCCGTGTCTCACAGACGTGTAGCGAGGAGTAAGTCAGTCACAGCGCTGGGTCACCTAGAACAGGGCCAGGGACGTGGCCCACACCCAGAAAATACTTGAAGGTATTTTTTTTAAATGATAACCAGATATCTCCAGGCTTTGTGTTGCCTGTTTCTCCAGAAAGGACAACGAAAGGTCCAGACATCCTACTGGCTGGGTCATCAGGAGGGGAGGGTTCTATCCGGTTGCCTAATCACGCGTGGAGTAATTTAGGGGATTAACACAATCAGCGACCAAGCTGGGCTCCCTAGCAAATGCCATGGCTGTAAGCTTGCCTCAATTTACTCTGTGCATGTACCACCCAAATCCTTTTTTTGTAATGCCGGCAGCTACAAATACATCCTTACGTATTTACGTACACACAGTGAAGGGATGCATTTTTGAAAAAGGTTTATACATATCAATCGAATTATAAATTTTCTTTCCAGGCTTGTTATTTAAAGGACCCCTCTGGTAAATCCTTTTGTGAGGCAAATAATCAGGCTTACTTAAACTTCTTAGAAAAACTGGATTTTCCTATCAGGTTTGCTTGAGGGGCAAGGGACCCCGAGTGACAACTTGGTGGCTGACACCCTCTCCCCAACCCCCAGTGCCCAGGCTCTGCCCTGTGAACAACACAGTCTTCTGGCTGGGATTTTTGTATAAAGGGCACACACTGAATGACATGCTGACTTCACACAGAACGTCTCATTTATGTCCTGTGTGACTGACTCATTTGGGGAAATTTTTTATTATTAGGGATTTGCTACAGCTGGAGTAAATCTCCTTAGAAATTTCAGTGTTGTCAGGTTCATTTGGAAGAGCTTGTGGGGGATTAGGAAGTTTGTGGCCTTGGAATAAATACGGCTCCTCATCGAGCAGCTGATAGCCAGCATTTGTTTGGTAAAGGAATCTGGGGTCCAAACTCTGGGCTCACCCCCAACGACAGCCAAGGAGGATAACCTGAAAGGCCATTCCTCTTAGAACACATTATTCGTCTTCCAGAAGAAAACATAAACCAGCTAACGGACATATTAACTACTGTGTTTGCATTTCATTATTCATAATCTCCCTCAAATGAAAAAATTCCTTCCAAAGCTTTAACACTACCTTTTATTATTTTAGCCGTCTATTTACTTTCCTAAGCTGAAGTAGCCATTTTCACTCCTACCTTTTTCCTTTCTCTCCAAAATGGCTCCCGGGTGCCTTTTTACTTTTCTCCTCACAGATTCTGACATCGGCATGTCAAGCATTTGTCTAGAGAACGTTTTCTGTACGTTCTTCCTCGACTTCAAAGTCTTAATTTCTCTCCCCAAACCCACATTTGGGGCGTGGGAATCTTGACGGTGGAATTAATTTTCAGAGTCCACGGGAGAGGTATGAAAAAGCAACAGACTCCTTGCTTCCTCTCATCACTAGGCAAACATGAAAAGAGGCTTTCTAGTTTCCATAACTCTATCCACGCTTGACATTTCCCAGCAGGCCTCCGAAAGCTGGGTTAGCCAACTGAGCCTGAGCTAGAAGATTCTTCATGACATCCAGGCCCTTCTCAAATGGCCAGATGATGTCCACCCTGCAAGAGTGCCCCCGAAGGACTGCCACTTAGAGCTGCTTGTGAGGAGATTTCTCTGTCACAGGTGGAGTGCTTGGTGCTCTGGGGAAGAGTGCTGTGCCCATTCTATGATACTTGGGTCTACACATCACAGCACTCATGCCCCCCCGCCGCCATGTCTGGAAGCCAACCAGTCAATGTCTCCTTTTATGCTATTTGTATTTTTAAGACCTCACACTTTGCACATGGCAAGCTCTTTCTAGCCCCTGGGAATCTGTACAGTCTCTTCCCT